CACTTCTACGCCCCACTGTGCCCCACTCTGTGGGGTATGAACCCGGGGTCACTTCTACGCCCCACTGTGCCCCACTCTGTGGGGTATGAACCCGGAGTCACTTCTACGCCCCACTGTGCCCCATTCTATGGGGTGTGAACGCAGGGTCATTTGTCCCCTCTGCCCATCCAATCAAATGGTGACACTGGCCCTTCCGAGTCCAAGTCCCTCCAGGACGGAAATGGAATCTTAGGAGAAGGCCCCTCCAAGATGGTGAGCGGCCTGTCCTCCAGAATCTACTCCTGCCACGTCACCTCCACCCACTCCCCGACCTGGGAGGGGGTGCAGGCAGGCCTTACCTCTCTGTCCAGCGGCTGTCGGAGCCAGACCACACCAGTGTCAGGCTCCACGGCAAAGAAGCGAGAAGCTTCCTCCCCAGACACGCCAAACACCAAGGGGTCATTGTCCATGTCTCGGGCCAGCAACTGGGTCACAGAGGAGCCTGGAGTGTTGGAGAAAGGGGGTAGAGAGCAGAAAGGGAAGGTCAGGACCATCCTTTGGGCCCTCGCTTAGGTGGCCGAACTCCCAGGAGGAAACCTCTAGCTGGCCACTAGGCCCTGCCCTGCCCCACGTGCCACAGTGCATGTGCGGTACCAAGAAACCGTCGCCCTAGTCCTGTCCTCAAGAGGGGTGTGAAGGGGTGCACCACCCTGCTCCAGGGAGCAAGGTTCTGGTCCACAGCCCTGCCTAAGATGCCATAGCAAAGGAAGTCTTCTCTTGGGCTCACAGCCTCTCTAAGTAGCCTTCAGGTAGCAAGATCCACCGTCCTGGCTTGCCTGAGACAGCGGCCTTTGCTGGGACACTACTTCTGTCTGTTAATGTTGGGTGCCATCCAGTCAGTTCCAGCTCATCGTGGGTGGCCCTGCGTGCCGCAGAATGAAACACTGCTTGGTCCTGTGCCGTCCTCTCTGTGATTGTGTTGGACCCCCTTGTTGCAGCCACTGGGCCGATCCATCTCCCTGGGGGTCTTCTTTTTTCTCACGGATCCCTTTCCCCAAGCAGGACGTCCTTTTCCCAGGAACGAGTCTCTCCTGGCTCGTCTCTCCACGCTCCAATACGTGAGACACTGTCCTCCTTATAAGGAGCACGCTGGCTGCGCTTCGTTTAAGACAGGTGTGTTTGTTCTTCTGACAGTCCACGGTCCTTTCAGTATTTTTCTGCCCAACACCATCATTCAAATGCACCCATTCGCCTTCAGTCTTCCATCCAGTGTCTGCGAGCACACGCGGAGACTGAAAATCCCATGGCTTGGGTCAGGGGCATCTGAGTCCTCAAAGGGACACCCTTGTGCTTTGATACTTTAAAGAGGTCTCTTCTGCAGCAACGCAGTCCTGCCACGTGGTTTCTGGACTGGTGCTTCCATAAGCGTTGACTGTGGATCTGGGCAAAGTGAAATTCTGACAACTCTCCGCTCTTTTCTCTGTTTCTGACGGTGTTGTCTATTGGTCCATGTGATAGTTGCAGTTTATTGAGCCAACCTGGCCAATGAACACATGTGGGATTCATTGAAGGGCAGTTTAATTGAAGGGTGGAGAGATACATGGCTCGGCGAGCCTCACCTGTCTTGTCTCTTGTTCTCTGATGGTCGGACCAGGGTGCAGCTGCCTTAGCTAGTTCTCTGCCTCAGCTGGCAAGGTTCGCTTCCTGTGAGACATCCCTGAGGAGAAGCCACATGGACCTACCCCGATGCAGCCCTGGGTGCTGGAGCAGCCGTGTGGAGACCCCTGCCAGTGCTGAGATGCTTACACGCTCATTGATTTGGCTTTCCTCCTGCAGTCGGCATCATTGTGTGTGTTTTGTGAGATTGAGGAGGACTTTGTAGATTGGTGTCAGACATATGGGCTAATGTCAGACTTGTGGGCTTGGACAGCACGGGGTTGGGGTGCTTTCTTAATGTACACTTGCCCTTTATATTACACTCTTATAAGATAGAGTGTCTGTGAGTTTTGTTTCTCTAGTCTACCCAGACTCACACAGCCCAGCTGTGAGGATTTGCGTTTCCTTTGCATTGAGCTGCCTGCCATCCATTCTGAAGGCTGCGGTTTGTGTCTGGGGTGCTGCTATGATGTTGGAAATGAGGCCGCCAGTATTTCCAACACCAGCAGGGTCGCCCCTGGTATGCAGGTTTCAGAAGAACTTTCAGACTAAGGACAGATGAGGAAGCTTGTCAACTTCTGAGCTATGAAGCCCGAAAGCCTGATGAACAGGAACATGGCTCAACCAGAAAAGTCACAGCCCCTCAGGACACTGGTCACCTTAGCGTCAAGGGATCCTTAAATCTCCTGAGATGGAAGGAAAGCAGTAGGAGTGTACGATGGGTTGTACTCTAAAGAGCGGGTCTTTAGGCGAATTTTTTATCAGAAATTATGGCCTTGAGCAAATCACTTCTTTAAAAATGTTTGGTTTACCCTGTGAAGTGGGATGGATTCCCTCTTGTCTCAAATGCTGACTGTTGCTCACATCTGAGTATCTAAGCTCTGGTGGAGTAGAAGTCAAGCGTTGGGCTTTGGTCCACAGGGTCAACTCAAAAGTTGGAAACCACCAGCTGCCTTGGGAGAAAGATGAGGCTTTCTACTCCTGTGAAGAATCATCGTGGAAACCCATAGGGGCAGTTGTACATGAGCCCCATGGGGTCAACATGAGTCCCATAGGGTCAACATGAGCCACATAGGATCTACTTGAGTCCCATAAGGTCAACATGAGCCCCGCAGGGTCAACATGAGCCCCATAGGGTCAACATGAGTCCCGTAGGGTCAACATGAGTCCCGTAGGGTCAACACGAGTCCCATAGGGTCAACATGAGCCCCACAGGGTCAGTTCAACATGAGCCCCATAGGGTCGACACAAGCCCCATAGGGTCAACATGATCCCTATAGGGTCAACACAAGCCCCATAGGGTCAACATGATCCCTATAGGGTCAACATGAGTCCCATAGTGTCAACACGAGTCCATAGGGTCAACATGAGCACCATAGGGTCAGTTCAACATGAGTCCCATTGGGTCAATACAAGTCCCATAGGGTCAACATGAACCCTATAGGGTCAACATGAGCCCCATAGGGTCAACATGTGTACTGTAGGGTCAACATGAGCCCCATAGGGTCAACACGAGCCCCATGGGGTCAACATGAGTCCCATAGGGTCAACACAAGTCCCATGGGGTCAACATGAGCCCCATAGGGTCAACATGGGTCCCATTGGGTCAACATGAGCCCAATAGGGTCAACATAACCACAGGGGCAGTTCTACATGAGCCCCATAGGGTCAACATGAGTCACAACTGACTGGATGGCAGGGAGTTTGATCAGGCTATGTACAGGAGGATTCCAGATGCTGAAACGTGATCTAGGAAATAGCATTAATGAGATTTTCTAAGGGAACTTTCAAAAGGACAGTTCAATTTTAGCATGACAACGATAGCTACCATTTTAAAATGTATTATGGCATATAATGTATGTTGGCATATAATACATATCATACAACTCAATAGTTCAATCCTATTCAAAAGAGTTGTGCAGTCTTCACTACAATCAATTTTAAAACATTTTCTTCTTTCTCATATTCATTTTTGTTAGCCCCCCATTTTTCCCCAGCCTCCTCTGCCATGTCCTAGGTAGCTATTAATCCAGTTATTGTCTATAGATTTACCTATCCTGGATTTCATATACAGAAAATCATGAAAAACAAGAAACAAAATGAAAAGAAAATGACAACAGAGAGAAAAACTTCAATTGAAAAGAAAACTGAAAATATGAAAAATGCAAACAACTTTAAAGTGGAAGATCCAATGATTTGTATTACATTTGAGCCTAACTCCTTCTACCATAATGGACTTTATCACGCTCTCTGTTGATTCACATCCCTGGACTGTAGTCAGAGGGGATTCCCCGGAGGCTTCATCCACGTGGGGACCCTGCAGACGGATTTGGGGTTTCCACTGTCATCCACAGCCTTCTGTTGACGGAGCATTCAGGATTACAGAGAGCCACCAGGTTTTAGGAAGTGGTGAGAAGGACCAGGCTGTGTGCGCCCATAAAGATTTACAGTCTCGGAAACCCTTGGGGGCAGTTCTGTTCTGTCCTCCCGTAAGGTCTACATGCAATGGAATTGGTTCAATGGCAGTGGAAGCTGTATGCCAGGCACTGGGCTAAGCAAGTCCTCCTTTAACCCTTACTGTTAGCTCTTTAAAGGTGCCAGGGTGGCATTGTGGGTTAGGCACTGGGCTGGTAACAGCACCATCATCGGCTCAAGCCTACCAGCAACTCTGCGTGGGAGGGGCCTGATGCTATCTTTGTTTTGTCTCTCATATTTTGGACATGTGATCAAGAGACCAGCCCCAGAGAAGGACGTCGTGTTTGGTAAAGTAGAGGGGCAGCACAAACAGCAGGAATTGTGAGGCTGGCGCGGGGCTGGGCATGGCTTTGTTCTGTTGTCCACAGGGTCACCATGGGGTCACACCCACCACAGAGGGTTGCTATGGGATGACTGTGAGCCAGAATCTACCTGAGCGCAGTCGGTTTATCACCCCATTATTTTCACTATTAGCCCCATTGAAGGGGTTTTTGTGGCACTGGGTGTGAGAGTTGGACTATTAACCACCAGAAGGACAATTCAAACCCACCAGCAGTTCCAGGGCGGGGAGGGTGAGGCCATTCGCTCCGTGAGAAGTTACGGCCTCAGAAGCGCACCTAGAGTGGCTATGAATCAGGATGGCTTTGGTGGTGGTGGATTTGGGCTCATTGTCCCCTCTTAATAGAGAAAGCAACACAGGGCGCTTAAGTAACTTCACCAGGGCCATACAGTTAATATCCAAACACATGTTATGTGTTTGGATCCATCTTCTTAACTGTATGGCCCTGGTTACTCCCATCGGCTTCTATGACTTGTGACTGTGTGGGAAAATGGAATTGGAAGTTAATGGTATTTTCCCATGGACTTTTTGAAGGCTCCTGGTCCATCTCAACATTTGACGTGTGGACTGAAGATCTGGGACTTCTGTGGCTATGAAATTACTGGTCATTTGGGGGCATTTATGACATACCAGTCACCAAGCGAGGTCCGTTCATGTGAGTTCTCCTGTTTTCCCAGTTTGGTCGCCATGGTTCTACCCATTTTGTGCATTTGAAAGTCATGGATCAGTGAGGCAAAGCAGCCTCACTGAAGTCACACGTCGGAGCAGCATCCAAGATGATGAGAAGAGTGAAACTGAGAGAGGGAGGAGGAAAATCAGAGAGCAGAGGGGGGATGACTGCAGAGGCCTCTTGGAGCCCCATCTTCCATTAAGCCCAGAGCATCCGGCAAGTGGCCCACCGCTGGACGGTGAGCTCTAGTTTCCAGACGTCCAGGCCAGGGCCCTCTCTAGCTGGAGCTACCCAGAGTCATA